GTAGGGTATCATTTTTTGACATTTTGTCTGGGTATCATTAGGGTATCATTTTTGCATGGCGAATAGGCTACGCTTTCTGCAGACACAAAAACAATAAAAACGTTAGTAAATATTGATTGCAATCAATTGTAAAACCGTATTTTCCGTCTTTTAGTCTGGGATAGGGTGTACAATTCTTAGTTTTAGTCTGGGGTAGGGCTATTACCGGGAGTGACGTCTATTGATAGCAACCAATTAGACAAAGTGACTTACACTGGTGACTAATTTTTTCTACGTATGTAATGAACATCTGAGTTTTGTTTTTCAGAATTGGCCCAAGTCGAACCCACCTAAATTTCCGAGTTCCTAAATTTCTTCGACGACCTTCGGGCCCTGACCGGCTTTGACCTTCGAGTGGCGCACATCGTGACGTGTTTACAATGAAAGTGTTATTTGAATGCACTTAATTTTGCTAAATAATGATGCTTGATTCTCTTGGGGAAAAAGTTGTCGTTACTTATTAGCGTTACTAATGTGTTAACACGACGATGCAAACACTCTATTGGCAGGAAAAATACCGTGCTTAGAAGTATGCCAATGCCTTAAATATGGTAATACTTTTGCGCGTTGCGCTGTAAATAGATATTAATAAACATGTTACCTTTTTTGAATTGGTCGAAAACCGCCATCTTATTGCATGAGTCTCTGTAAGGACTGTGACCGTAGGACGTTACTGCGCATGTCAGAAACGTCAACAGGGATAGACTCGATGACAACATAACTTCAAAGAAGAAAAAAATTATGATTATAAATTATTTATCTAATAGGTTACCATGAAACGTTACGTAGTATAGGTAGTCCAATAAAGGTTGGTAAGGGTTTATTGTTTGTTAAATGCATGGATATTAATCCAAACAGCGAGATTACACAACAGTAGGATATATTCCTATTTCATGCATTCGTCGTTTTTCTTTTAATTTCTTCTTTTTCTTCTGTGCTGACTTTCATCTATTTAGCATGCAACATGCGGCATGTAACATGCAACATGCTACACATCTTCACGCAAACTTTTTCCTATTTTATTTTCGAAATAAATCTGACAAAAAAGAGCGTAGAATAGCTATATAACTATTATGCTTTTTCCTTTAACATTTTTTTTGTCTCGCACACTGATATTATCTGATGCTATTGTTTTGATAGTCTTGCTCTTCTTTGCTTTTCTAACACTGATGAAAACACTAGGGATGCATGGCAAAACATGCCTGTTAAAATTCAATTAAAAAGATTTGCGTGTTTCTCACGTTATGTGGAAATAATCATGAAATAAGGAAATACTTTAAAGAAAGACGGTAAGAGATATAGAAATTAAAAAAGAGAAAGAAATATTTATTCCTTGCGTTTTCTTTTTTCCTTTCATTTTCATTTGAACATACATTCTCATTTTATAAAAAATATTTAAACACTAGGATCTTTTACTCAAAGCTACCGACAACAAATCAACCTTGATTTTATGACAAGGACAAGGACAAGGACAGGAAGAAGGACAGGGACAGGGACAAGGACAGGGACAGGGACAAGGACGACAAGGGAACGGGGAGAAGGACAGGGAGAGGGACAAGGACAAGGGGACAGGGGCAAGGACGGGGACGGGGAGAGGGACAAGGACAGTGACAAGGACAAGGACAAGGACAAGGACAAGAGAAAGGACAGTGACAAATTGCAGGTGCAGATGAGTCAGTACATAAAAGTGCATAAAAAAACAAGGATATATTTTTACCTGGTGTTAACGAACTACTGCATCGTGTGTTTTTTCTGCTAAAGATTTAGAGGTCAAAAATATTAGACTTTTCTGTTTTCTCTTTTCTCACAATGTGCGACCCGGAAAGGATTGCATGAATATTAGTCCAAGGTCCAATAAAAAACAACTCTTATACCCCAGATTTTTCTAATAATTTATTTAAAACTGTTGAATTTGATTCACATTGAATACCTTTGCTTTAAAATTTGAATATCTATGGTTCTGAATACATAGTTGGGATTCTTGTCAAATATTTTGAATGAGGCACTGCAGTTATCCCACTATAAATTAGAATATGTTATTTCATGTTCAATTAAGAGAAAGATTTTTTCCTAATCTTTTTTGTTACGATGATAACCAAGAAAAAGTTGCTTGAAAATTAGTTGGATAAAAAAAACTTTTAACGAAAGTTTTTTTCCATTAAATTATTCATAACGAGAAGTAAATTACTATTGACTTAATCACATTGGAAAGCGTTGCTTTATTCTACACAGTTGGGAGCCTTCACGGCTCTTTGAAACTAAAGAAACACAATGGGAAATTATTTTWAAAAAATTAAGAATAAAAGTGTTTGAGAATTGAACTTCAACTTGACTCTGTGGATTCTTTGGATTCTTTTATGGTTCTTTTCAAAGTGTCTAATTCCTGCTCTGTTCATAACAATGCATGACCGAATAGACAAATATTTGTAATAATAGTATTCTTATGTTTTCTTAGTGGCTTTTTCTCCCTTTAGAATTATGTCATGACAGAAATCGTTAACACGTGATGTAATATCATTGGTTGCTATGTAACATGGGTAAACGTCAGAAGGGTGCAGGGGAAATGAAATTGAAAGGACCCCCCAACAGTAACCTATGCAGTACATCAGTTCTTCAAGTAGATCATGATGGTCAACTCAACGAAACAGCATCGACTTTGACCTCCTACCAACACTATACTTTCTTGTGTTGACATCTTTGTCTTAACTATTATTCAGACGTTTAGCGCTTTGAGGCAATCACTTGTACTTATGCAAATCTAAATTGTATATAAAAGTTATTAAATTTGTGTACCGAAAATTACTAAAATTATGACATTCGCTTTATAAGAACGGCCATTATTATTATTATTATTATTATTATTATTATTATTATTAT